CGAAATTCCACACCACTTCTTCGATGGCACATGAACAACCGATAACAGGAAACACTTTTAATGACCACAAGAATATTCTTCACTTTATGGGAACATTATATTCTTGCTAGGGGTATTCTTCTTCGTTCTTCAATGGGTGTACTATACATGGATATATCCTGCAGTGATGTTGGGATTGCCACAATTAGGCCCCTGGCCCGTGCCACATAATGGCATGTCCCACTTATTATACGCAATGTGTCTTGCTGCTTCTAGCTGCTTTATGTACTGCTTTCATCTGTACCTACAATTCTTGGGTAGAATGGTAATACCAAGGTCTTAGGCTTCTGAATTGCTGGCTTTCTTCCATCCTTGCCAGCCATATGGCTTGTCGCTTGGTCGACGTCTTCTTCGAAAGTACCTCATTGCTTTCGACTATTCGCTGTGGATTTTTGTTGCTGCTCTTGCTTCTGCTTCTATTGCTGTTGCTATTGCTATTGCTATTGCTGCTGTTGTTGTTGTTGTTGTTGGCTTTGATTTCCTGTTTCGCCTTAAGCTTTTAGTTTTCCATTTAACTAACCGCAAGCGCACATTCGTCACCTCGAGTTGTTGGCTCTGGTTTTTACTGTTGACCTCCCCTGCGGCATCACCATCCCTCTCTTAGCCTGTCATTTGCCTGTTTTGCCATTTCTGTTGTTGCCACTTACAAATTGGCTTTTGGCCACAAAAAGCCCTCGTTTAGTTGAAAATAGCAAAAACAATACCAACAACAACAACAGCAGCAGCAGCACCAGCAGCAGAAGTTGAACAAGCACAAGCAGCAAAATCGGGAAAAAAGTTAATAAGCCAAAAGGTCAAACATTGTTTTCAATGTGTGGCACACAAACACACTCATACATATACAATTGTGGCGCGTTTTTTATGAATGTGTGTAGCAGTGTGTATCTGTGTTTGGCCATAACAAAAATTTATGCTGTGCACGTTGTCAAATGGAAGCAACGTTTCCAACGAAATGATTTTTAATTTATATGTTAATAGGTGTTTGCCACATAAAGACGCATTAAACGAGCCACTTTTGTCGCCCTGGACAAGGCAACAACAACAACAACAATAGCAACAGCAACTTCAACAGCCTTAGTAATCAGAGTAACTTTGATTATGAAAATGGCATGTAAATAGCCAAATGAAATTCACATCTCTCCATCAGTGCAGCATACCCTAAAAAGTTGTCTTCGTCTATTTTCTATTTATTATTTATTTCATTTTGTTTCATTTTTTGCCTCGCTTGCTCATTTTGTGTTTCCGCCTCTAAATGAGGCAGCGAAAAGGCAGCAGCTCCTGCTCCTGCCCCTGTCCCGGTCCCGGTCCCTGCACCCCACCTCTCAGCTGTGTTGCAGCCACCTCGAACCAAGGAGCAGTCTGTCAATTTTCTGCGAGCATGACGTATGATTGATGGGCAAGACAATTTCACTTTAATATTAATATGCCGGCACCGTGAATTTGATAAGCGTTTAAGTCGTTTCGGAATTTTAATTGCTTGCTGGCAATGCTTTGGGAAAGTTCGGGCGAATCGAGATAAGTTGAGCCTAAAAGCTAAACGGAGATGAGCACAAGCTAAGCTAAGGCTAAGATATTGTTATTAATGGGATTTCACGGCTGGCTATTTACGAGTATACGAGTATGTGCAAATCGATCTGGAGAACTGTATGTTAGACTATTGATTTGGTTGGAGGTCAATAATAAATATTTCAATATTAATTGCCGAGAAACCAGCAACGGTTGCCAACTGGCCATGTACTATGAGGAAATACAAATTGTACACCTTTGCGAACAAGAAATAAATGCTAGAGTGGAAGGCGTCCAACTCTCTACATTACGGGAATTATTATACTTTCTGAAATCCTTGCACACTTCTACGTGTACATCGACTCGACTTGTACCCTTTGGGGCATCTTCATAAAGTAACCAAAACAAATTCTTCTTCATGAGAGCATATATATTGTATCACGCGTTATCTGTCTGTTCGAATCAATTTGAAACCAACATATTAACATGATTTCACTGCATATTTTAATTTATTGTTGACTTCATTTCAATTAAATTATTATTATTTTTATGTTGAAATTGCAATTGTTGAGTCTATTATTTCTGATGCTTAATTTTCGAGAGCTGAATGCTTGGCTTCCTCGATTTCATGGCATTCATTCTATTTGTAAGCAATTGAAATGTGTGAAGTATTTTAGCAAATGCAAGTAACTACGATTTTCATAGAAGAATGAATAGCAATTGCTCATTTAAATTCTGTTCAATTATCAATAAGTCCGTTTTCCGAGCACCTTCCTTGGCCTGCTTGTTTATAACTTGTAGCCGATATATTTTTCCTACGTCGACTAGCATGGACTATTTGTCGTTGCTAAATATTTGTTCTTCGATCCCGGCTTATTCAAATAGAATGTGCCTGAATCAACAGAAGTTGATGCTGTTGTTGGTGCTACTGTTTCAAATAAAATTACATATATTTTCATTTGAATTCATTTCCTGCTGATGTTGCAGCTGCCTCAATTCCCGTGCCTACTCTGCACTCCTCTATAAGGGCTCGAGGTTGGCAGCCACCACATAGAACTACCACCAGGAAACTAATTCCATTAGCAATACATCAATGAATTTTTGCGTCACTTACTATTTTTACACAGGCTCTGCCCCACTCCCCAAATGTTTTTCGACCGATATAGACCAAAATACCGAGAAAAAAATGATAGTGTTGATGTGCAGGCAATGAAAAAGAAATTCGACAGCCTGAAAAATATTTTTAAAATTGGCTTTATTTTGACATTCTGTATACGCCGTGTGGTATGCTCTCTAGCCGTCGCTTTTTGCTATCAGTCTTCACGAACTAATTACCATACAAATCTATCTAACCACCAAACCAATTTCCACGCAATTTTTACGTTTTTTTACGTTTTTTGGTTTGTATGGTTAGTTTTAAGTTGAGGGACAGCAAGGTTTTCATTTAAAAGTTTGGTACCATTGTTAAGATTTTTCATTATTTATTGCAAAATATTTGAACATAACAAAATATCATTATATGCTTCTTGTTAATTTCTATTGGGTTTTATATTTTTATTTGATTTTTTTGTATATACTTATTATAGAGTTCCCATTTACTTTAGACGTGACCGGAAAACAACAGCCATTGCGATCTTACACTTTCTAAAGCAGCATTTGCATCCACGACGAATAACATTCGTCAACTGTTCGCAATTATATTAATAACATTTTATCCAACACAATCATTTGTGGTGGAAAAAATACAATAACTAGAAGACTATAGACAGATTGCACCGAACTATAATTTCTAATCATTTTGATATATCATCGTCTGATCGCCCGGCCGCCGACTTAGTTAAGAGTGACGTGAAGCGAGAAGATCGGTATATCAAGATTGTCTTACTATAACTACCAATGACTGCTGATCAAAAAAGCACTTATTATAGAACTATGCTGACTGTTTCTGGAAAACAAGGAGCAGTCAGACCCATCGGCGCAAATATTTTCTGCATCAAATTTCCAGGCAATCTCTGCGCCATCGTTAACTCAAAACATGAATTAATTGAGAATGTTTTTCGGGCCAAGCTGGATAGTAACTTGAATCATAAGCTTAAGTCATAAGCTGCTTGCAATTTGCAATTGTAAGTGGAATTAATAATAATAATTATAACTTGAACCTTAATTGTCTCAGTAAGCGAAAAATGTTGATGTTGACGAAATGAACTTTCACATAAGTACAACAGTTGGTGCCAGGCAAACAGATGTCTTTTGAAGCAATCGAGACTGTTGTTAATGAAAACGAAACATTGAATCCAGGAGAATTTTTCAATTCACAAGATATGCCAGTAATGCGACCACACAATATTTAATTGAAGATTGATTCGTCGGTGATTCTGTTTGGTAATTTAGGCCTTTTAAGTTAATGTGACGGCACACTTATGGTCAATAAGAGGGTCACAGGAGATGTTATTGTAGCAACCATTCTGAACGCATTTGAAACCACCGGTCACTTCAATCCCATTTAAACGACTTTAGTTTTCAATTTGCAATGACAAACAACAAATTCTTAGAAGCTCTTTTGGTATATCTTTTGGATCGTTTTAGTAGGGCAATAAGTGTAAGTCTCCTCCTCTCTTCTCTTTTTCGTTTCCCAGCTTCTATACAAACAACGAACGAAATCTGCCCTCCGAACTACTTGTATAATCCGTAAATATCCCACTACTGCTGATAGTTCTCTTGATGTCCTTGCTCCCACACTTGAATTTTTACTTTTTCAGAAGCCTGTAAAAGACTAATGGCATACCAATCCTTTGTCAGGAGGGATGTGTGCGGTATGCGGGCTACGGTCTGCTATGTAAATCCTCTCCATGCTCCGGTATCACGATACCTATATAAGGATAACACGCCAGTTAGAGTTAATTCTGGAGAGCCAAGTGCCATTTGGCTAGCCACTGGAACACATATGAAGTGTTTTACATCTCCCATTTCAATCTGTGAAAGCGTTGTCCCCCATATTACGCAATTTCTTTATTAATTATTTCAGGTATTATTTCCGTCGGAGCTCTAGGGTGGAGACGGACTATCCTTGCATGTCCCTTATGTGAGTCCCTCATTGCAGAGGCCTCCCCTAGCAGTGTTAGTTTCTAATTCGTAAATACCTTCTTACAACAGCTCGCTCCATGACATTATCCTGTCAGTATATGAGACGTACAATGACTCTGTCCGTCCATCTATCCGTCTATCTATATGTATGAACAAAAAAATCTCAGAAACAAGTTGTTGGTGTTGTTGCTTTCGCTTGATTTTGTACTGTACACACGCAAATGGACACAAACAAATATAGCCGCAATCCCGATGTGGCATACATTTATTAATTTAATTTAATTAGACTTTAGTGTTATCTTCGTGTTTTATTTTAAAATTGTACGAAGTCGACCTAATAACTTTATTCTTTCATGTTTTTGTCTTTTCAGGATGAAAAAAATCAACTGCTTATAACTAATATATGGCTTAAATTGGTAAGTAACAATACAAATTTAAGAATCATGCATATAAATCATTATATTGAAATGCAGTGCTTATTGCATTCAACCGTTTTCCATTTTCCAACTTTCGATAAATCAACATTAGTTTACAAAATTTTAAACATTTAAAAAGTCCTTTAACTTGGATTTTTTATTTGCCAAAATAAAAATCACAAAATGGAGCAACAAATTTTAATAAATATTTTAATGGCACTATGCAGGCAATACCGAAATATTAGAAGGGCCGAAAGCAATCATTTCTGATGCATACTTGTATTATTTTGTATTTTCCCATGGTAAGATATATTTATACGCGGGACGCGACGGATATGAGTGCAAAGACAATCGAAAGTATAAGAGACAAAACATGAGGAGATTAGTATAGTCAAGAAAGTTCCGACGTTGATATCGGGCAAAATATTACAAGAATGAATACAGACATGATCACAAAGGTTTTTACTTAAATTTCGTTTTTTAATATTGATAAAATTTCGTTATTTCCGTATCAATCCACATCCCAAATTCAATTCAGTAAGCACATTTAACAGGGAACAAAAGTCCACACATATTGAAAAAATGGAACCCTAAAGGTTCTTAAAATTACGTCATCTAGCTTCCTTTGTGTGAGGTTAATTGGATAGCATAGAAATCTATCGCCAGACAGGCCGAATCTATAGACCTCTGTTCCCGATTCAGATAATGATATACATGTACAACATATTTTGAGGAGCAATAAGTTTTTGACTGCGTCAAGACATTTTTTCTACTGATGGATAGAAAGATATGGATATCGGGAGCTAAAATAATGTATTCTCCGTTTTTTGTTTACTGTGAGTTGCCTTATAGGCAAGGCACTAAACAGAGTATCTGGGGTAGACCCAAAGCCTGACCTTGGAATCCTAAATGTATCTTCAGCATGCACAGCAGTCCTTATTGTTACAAACCACACTAGCATTGCAGCTAATTGTGAGCTCTTCGTTGGTTGCATTGATCGACATATCAACAATATATATTTATCTCTCTATAGGCGAATACATAACGGATTTTCCATTTGATTCAATGTTCAACGGCATAAAGCCCGTCAAATGGATACCAGGTTCAAAGCAATTATTAAAATCAGACTGTTAGTGTGATTCATATAAAATAATCCTTCTGTATGTGGATTCAAGGAACCCTCCAGAGGAACCCCCCTTTGCTAACACGAAAATGGATCTCTGAGATCATACAAGCACCTACCGAATATAAATCCTTTGAATCTTAGTCTAACATAAGTACATATTTTAACTAAAACAAGCAATCAAGCCATAACAGATGGGCACTTAGTGCAGCAAAAAAGGGCTGGTCCAGAGAGTGCATTTCAGGCTTCTATTCTGCAGGCTCTTATCCGCTTACGCCGCTGCCTAACAACATCACGGACAGTAGAAATCTCTAGGTCTTCATAAATTATGGCGTTATGGCGAAAGCTATGATGGGCTGAAATTTTGATTAAAAAGCATAGTGGTTCATCACAGTTGGATGCCGTAGGTATAAACTGGCTTTAAAGTTGCTTCGTACAGCAACAAATTGTTTGCTGTAAACAATTTATATCCGCTGCCAAGCCCTTTACCCGCTTGGCACGGATTTGCGGCAGCCATGGGAAGAGCTTTTAAGGGCGAGGCCAAGATATTTCACAGTCGGTTCAAACGGTTACGAGCCTACCGCACATCGTCACTTGCGGACCAACGCCCCTTAATGTGGGAAAGATAATGTGCACCGACTGGAAGGTGTTTGGATCGACATTCGCCTAGTACTGCGAAGCCTCCGGAGCCTCGACCTGTCTCCGCAGTAGAGCTAATGTTCGCTGACTGCTGCAGTCGCCACCAAGAAGTTCGTGTCATCAGCGTATGTAGTCACAAGTGGGTGGACGTGTTTAACCCACGCTGCGTATAGAGTGTAAAAACGGGCTTACAAGGCCCTGTGAGAATCGCCGAGTCGTATACTCCCATCCTCACATCTACAAAGCAGGGAATTCCTAAGACATGCAAGTATGTATAACAGGTGGCCTGTAAAGTCCGTAGTTCGCGATACTAGTATTAAACCCTAAAGGTTTTCAGTTAGCCCCAACCTTCAAAAGACACTATAAATTGTATAAATCTGACAACTGTCGTAATATTAGTTTGTAACTTATAGCATTTTGTGTGAAGCAACTTTTGTTAGTTTGAAAAAGGATTAAAACGAATTTCGTGTATAAAAAGGGCATCGCTTTTTGGCAAAAAAAAAAAAAAAAAAAACACTATTGAAGCAAAGGCTTGGCTTGACTAACATTATTCGGCTTGCGGCACCCCCCTCGCTACGGCCATGTCTGGGTGTACAATTGTGTAGTTCTTTAAAACATTGATTTCCGATTTTGATATTCATGTCTTAGGACGCGGAATCAAATGAGAAAATACAAACATAAGGTACAGAGTTGTTGCAGGATTGTTTCGCGGACTAACAAAGAGAAGTATGTTTATAGAATTTTGAAAATCTCATTAAAGGCAACTTATTTTGTGCCTTTGCGTGTGAAGCGTATGAAGTGAGCCTGTATCCAAAAATGTGTTGCTTCGCGTAATCATATGACCAAATTAATAAAAAGGACGTATTCTTCTAATGCATACATCATGGAGGAATGCTTTTAGCTATCTCAGAGAAAAATGCGATAAATCTCTTTTAACAAATGCGAAAAATTGTTTGCTTTGCCCAAGACACAATTCACAACTTTTCTTGCACTACCCAGATAGACCACAAGTCAACGTTTTGCTTCAATGAATTGCTTCGAAATGCCATGAAAGTGTGATACAAATGGCGCCTTAGCAGCAGCTTGACATAAATAATTACTGACAAAGTGCAAAAAAAAAATATATATATATACAAAAATATATAAATAAAATGCTAGCTTGAAGGAAAAAACACACACGCTCTCCCAGAAAATGGGAAAATCCAACATATGCGGCTGAGCTGGCGAACGCACAAACACACACACACACACACACACACTCGTACTCGTGCTCGTAAATTTCTTGCCACTTTCTATTGCATAATCGTTGGCAACAATTTGGCAGCTTTGCAGCTCGACTCACAAATGAGTTTAAGACAAGCATAGAAACATACGTGTATGTAGAAATTGTTATGAATTCAGGAATGGCCGGAGGCTACACACACACACACACACATGCGCACGCACACGCACACGCATTTAAGCAGCGAAACAAGAAATGAAATTGGCACAATTTGTCAAAAAAATGCGATGAAACAAAAGGCAGTAAAGCAACATGAAAAATTGCATTAAACAAATTAACTCGCACTTGGGCGCTACATCATTTTTTGCTGCGATTTCGGCCGTTTTATGCGTACTGGTTCGCTAAGTGGTGGGCGTGGCAGTGCGGGAATTGAAATCAAAATGGTAGTGGGCGTTGCCATGCCCATGAAAGAAATAGCTTAAATTGAGCGCAATGCTGCTAATGCGAAGCCACAGAGACAACAGCAATAGCAATAACCACGAGAAATTCTCTTGGCTTCCATTTGAATTTTCTTGCAATATCTAAACACACCATCACACACACACATAGGCCCACATTGAAAAGTCGGTATACAATTTTGATGTCGCCGTTGATAATGAAAATCAACCGGGCGACCCACTTGTTTATGCCTTTTTGCTGTGTCTGTGTGTGTGTGCGTCTTTTTAATGGTCTAGCCTCGCAGGAAATTCGTGCCCAAGTCGTCAACTGTTCATGGCAAAATAGACAAAAAACAAAAAACAAAAAAAGAGAAAGAAATACACGAAGCAGCTAAATTAAAGCAGCGCACGATTTATCTTTTTTCCAGTTTTACTTTTTTTAATTCCGATTTTACCGGCATAATTTGAGAATGGGGCCAGAGATGGGTCTAAGGCCGGGTCTAGGAATGAGTTGGGGTAAGTCCTGACAGCTCTTGGCTTTGCACCCAACCAACCATCTGGTCATAGTGGCAGACGCCATTTTAATTTCATTTTCGAAGTTAAGCAGCTTTTAGGATGGCTTCAACGAAATCACTTCATTTCGGCACGGAAAATTTCATTGAGCGGGTTCCTAAAGTGGTTTCGTTGTAACTGTTGTTCTTGGCGTCATACTCTACACAAAAAAGAATGTATGTCTCTTTCTATCTAGAATAGTAGGTAAATCTATAAACATATTACAGTTTCCCTTTAATATGCACTTCATTAAAGCAATATTCAAGTCTAAGAAAAAGCATCCTAGAATCGCTTAATTTAAATTAAATTTTTTAGGTTAACATTTCTGCTTAAACTCTTTTGACAATCTGAAATTAATATTATATTGTACATATAAGGGTATATTATAACACATTTAACCAGTTCCAAAAAAGTGAACGCGTTTTAGGAGCTCTATACCTTTGTCATCTTGCATTTAATTCGCAAAGCTGTTATCTCTGATTTATCACAACTAAAGAGGTACAAAAAAATTGCTCTGTGGGCCCTCATAGCAAGTTTTGATTCTTCTGATAATGGGATCGGATATGTTTCGCACGGTAATTTAATGGTTTTTATTCTACCATATCCACCAGAAATCCAGAAGGCGACTTCTGCTGCGGAGCTGGAATACAAGTAAACTACAATTTGCTAGTTTCAAAAATATTTATAGAAAACATTGTGTTAGTAGTCGGATCAGATAGCAAACAGTTGGTCAGTTAAAAATTTGGAGAGTATTAGTGTTTCGAACAATATACTTAGTATGTACGTTATTTGGTAGCCCTATTTTGTGGTTGTTGTGGTGTGTCTACTGTCGTCCCTGCTCGCTTATCAGACATTTTATTCACTCCTTTCGCGCTCGAGACTGCTGGTGAAAAAGGGAGAAGAAATAAAGAAGACAGTATAAAAATTGGATTTTATTTTGCGGAGCGTTGCGTGCGCGGCATGCAAATGTGGTCCGAAATGGGATTTGCTGTCGTCGCGGCGTCTGGGGCGCGGTGTGGCGTGTTTT